CCCCTTCAGACATTGCCAGGCTCTCTGGATCTGCATTACTGTTGGGCGCCCTGTCACTGCACAAACTCACAAATTCTCCTTCTCACCTGAAAAATAAGAAGGCAATCTCTTGTTTTTCCCATTTCTTCTTGCTTTTCCCCTTCCTCTGCTTCTCCACTGTTTCCCTAGCCTTTCTTTGACCTCCTATACACTTGTGTGTCTCGGGACTCCTTATACTGATATGCTGTCCCTCCTACAAGGTCTCATAAAGGTGCTTCTCCCTTAGCAAAAATGCATAGCAGTCTTTGACTCTACATGTATTTGAAATCTTTTTTCCTGTCATGAATCCTCATAGAAACCAGTTTTATAGTTCTCATTTTTTTCCTGTGTCTTGTTGACTGTAAACTGTCTTGTAAACACTGCAGCAATATAAATCATGGATTAAAGTACCACTGGATGATGAAAGGCCTCAACAACTCGGAGAACAGAATAAGCTAGAAGAAGGCAAATAAGCAGGGAAATTTGAGAGGGATTGAGGTATTCTCAGGACCATTTCAGTCTATCAAATCAGTAGTTTCCAGAGGAAAAACTGTTCTACTGAAAAATTTCTGATCTGCTCTACTCTCAGTCATAACTCTTTTCAGTTCAAATAACTTTTTTTTTTTTAATTCCAGAATCATTTTTCTGTTCTTTTAGAACATTCACCTGCAACTTTGGTCAACCGCATGAATTTAAAGTAAATGCTTTTGTGTCTGTTTCCAAACCAGGGATATGGAGGTAAAGAGAAGGCTTTCATTGCAACTCAGGGACCCATGATTAACACCGTGAATGATTTCTGGCAGATGGTTTGGCAAGAAGACAGCCCTGTCATTGTTATGATCACAAAGCTGAAAGAAAAAAATGAGGTATGACAACTAGTCAAACTGAGAAATTATTCCTATGGCTGCGTACTGTACAAAGAACCTTAGCAGGTATGGAAGGAAGCTAGCAGATAACTGGCTCTTAAATACTCTGGTAATGGGCAATGTGAAAAGTAATGCTGAGATAGCCAAGTACATCAACTGCAACGCATAGCAATCATAAGAGATGTATTTAAAAAAGACAAAAAGGAACTCCATTGTGGAGAAACCTTTTGGCTGCTGCAGCATCCTGTGAAGGTTCTTTCGTCCAAATACTGTTTCATAGATTAGCTTATCCCCTAGCTGCTTCCACGCTTCTGAGCTAAAGGGGGTGTTGAGGTCAGTCAACTCTGGGAGATGGATGGTCAAGTGACCAATAGCCTTGACCCATCTAGCAAACCATGTGACTCCTGACTATTTAAGGCGGGGCATTTACTCTTAAGGGTGAGGCATTTCCTCCTGAGTCTTGGAGGAGTGTGGGCCTTCCTTAGAGTAAGCCTGAAGCCTTTGCATTAGAGCATTGGTCTACTTGGAGCCACCTGAAGCCTTCCAGCTGCGACACTCCATTTTCTAGATCTGTGCTGTTGGGTTCACAATTTCTTGAGAAATTATGATCATTTCTCTGTTGGTCACCTCTGTACTTCCCGTTACTTCCTGGACTATAAAGAATAGATAGATAGTATTATGATTAGAGGTTTCCTGATATGGTTGAAGTTCGCACTTCGCTATCAAGGCAGGTTTTGAATCCATTCCAGATATTACAGAAATACAGTTTGGGCTCCCAAATGCCAATACCATGGAGGCACTTAGCCAGAATGGAAATACATGGCTCTTTACCTTAGTACCAAGTAGAGAAGATATTCGCATTTTAATTGCTAAAGGCCATCTAACTGCCTGTTATGCATTCTGTGACTTTTGGATCGATTCCCAACAACATCTTTAATAGCTTTATTTAGTATTCATGTAGATTGTTGCCAGGCTTTCCTTGATAGTGCCAGAGTCCATATTTGTGACTGCTAGACCTTAGGAACAAAAATCACTCTTCAATGCAGAGGGCCAACGCAAAGCTTTGTTCTGGAAGACTGAATGTTGAAGAAGTGGCTTACAGGGCTTGTGGACAAGAGAGAGAGACAGCCATTAAAAAAAAATGACTTTTTCTTGAACCTATACTGCTAGACTTGGTTGCAATTCCCAACTCCAGGTATGTGCCACAACCAAGTCTCAGCACCTTGCCAGGTCAGCACCAGGGCCATATTGCCCTTGCTCCACTCACTACCCCTGCTCTTCAAACTCAGATGCATGTGATAATAGAGAAACAGAGTATTATTCAGGCAAAGTTCCCAGTCTAAGTGATCAAGAGACCAAGAGCCTGAGTGCATTCCCAGGGCTCAAACTCACTGCTCCATTTAAATGTGGACTCAGTAGACATACTGTTCTTTCTTCTGCCCTTGGCCGCTGCTTGGTTCTTTGTCACCATGAGTTTGGGCTTTTAAAATGAAGTTAAAATCCAGTGGATTTTAAGAAAGCTGTATGTAAAAAGTAGGTTTGTCCTGTCAAATATCCCAAGACGTATTTCTAAGCCAGGTGTCATTTTGCACTAGACTCTTCAAACAAGTGTCCAGAAGCCTACATTAAAAAGATTACTCCTGAAAATGTAGAAAACTTACTCCAGTCTAATTGGCCAAAAGAGTATTTCACTGAGGAAATGCTGACTGTTTAAACACTCACATCTGACACTGTGCAAGAAGAATGACTTGAAAGAAGTGTCGCAGTGGTTTCCATCATGTCAGGAAGCTCTGTGTTTACCTGAGTTACACAGGCTCTAGGCGCTGGTGTTTATCCGCATTGTTGTGGCCTGGCAGTGGTAATTTCCTCCTAATAGAAAGGGTGGGGAATCTCAAATCGTTCCCAGGCTATATAGATAGACTGTGTTTGCACAAGCTGTCCTGCCCTGTCTAGAAACCTTAGGAACTCTCCCACCGTTAGTGGGTTCCTCCTGAAACCTTGCTTGCTATTGAAAAGAAAATAGCTTAGCTAGTGGCTGTGCTCAGCATATTAACTTCGCTCCTAAAGTATTTGCTCTCTACAGAGGAAGCAAAAGCAGATGTTATTTAGCAAAATAGCACTTGATATTTTCTCTTCTCTGTGGTCTGCTTTATTTCCAGCATTTTCAGGGAGGTACATCTGCAGTATACACACACAAGCGTCTTCATATTTGAAAGTGTACTAATCCGTTCACCCACATCCACCTCTGCACAAACAAACCCTCATACCAGACTCTCAGGTATAGGCCCCACTCTTCAGTTGCTATAACATCAGTCAGGCTCTGTTTGAGCTATAATGTACTATAATGTATAAAGTAATGTGTAATGCGGGAGCTCTCAAATGAGAGACACAAGAAAAACCTTAATCTCAACAATAACTTCATTTATTTAGCATAAGTAAAATTATTTGGGATATTAGTGTCCTAGTTCAACATACTGATGTGATGAATCTGCAATAACAATGGGAAATGATGATAAATGAAGGTTTCTATAGAGTTACTTCCTTCCATGAGATGAAAAATGATTAAGACTCACTGTGGTAATAGTTTTGTAAGATGAAGATATAATATGAAAGTAGAGTGCTGAGCAAAATACTTATTTCAGCTGTAAGGAAAAAACTTGGAAAAAATTTTGTTGGATTTTCTTTCTTTTTCATTTTGAAGTCTGATTAAAAAAAGGAAATTGGTTTGTAAGCAAGAATAATGCTGAAGGAACCATGAGTGTTGTGAGTATTTTAAGCAGAATCTGTAAAACCTGTCCTCAAAACTACACTGTGTCTGAACAGATTGGAAATCTACCTGTGCAAGGACAGTCCACAGCAAAGGAGCTTCTGCCTGAATAAATAAAGAGAAACTTGGAATTCTAGGGTATAATTTTAGTGTTAATGTGAGGAAAAACACATCTCATCCAGTGATCTAGGTACCCTTCCCGGGCCAGTGAACAACAGTAGTCACCTGCAGAGGGTGATTCGTCCCACTCTAAGAGAATGAGATAAATCACCCACTGAAGGTGACCATCTCTAATTCTGTAGTAATATTTTAGGACATGATCTTACAAAGCTTTATCCACGAGGCACATATAAACTTCTATATTACTGAGTTTAGTCAAGGCAACTAAGCAATGGAAATTAGACAAATATGTGTAGTGTGAGAAATTTATAGACTTCTATATAATTTTATAGAGAAGTTTATAGACTTCTGTTGTATCAGCTGGTTTTGTAGTTACGCTATGTACTCCATAGATAATATGCGTTTAGTTTGCCTTCAAAACTTATTACCAATATTAACCAGGAAATATATTTCAAGAACCATAAATAAAGAATACTGTGCAGCATTCCGCAAGAAGAAAGGACTAGTACTGACAGATGCATTAAACAATGTGTGTTTATTCAACTCAGATAACGTAAATCTTTTTGTCAGTAATTATCTAGGACAATCTTGTTAACATACTGTTTAAAGCTCATATTATTTTCCTTGTAACGTTTTTTTCCTCAGTTTTTTCCAAGGCACACTTGTCGATGCATAGCAAAGTAGATTTTGGAATTCGGAAGTCCTGCCTTTTACAGAATTCACATAAGCCTCTTTGAAGATTACTTATTAGCTAAGTTGAATATTGGCACCATAGATATGTCTTAGGTTTTGGAAAAACTTAAGAAGATTTGGTCCTAACTTTGAGGATTTTAGTATATTAAAGCAAATCCTGCAAGCCCTCTTAAAATATACCCTCTTATGCTTGAATTCGTAGTGACAGTAAATAGAGGGCAGGAGTGAAAAGGAATTCTGGAATTGAAACTTTGCTGTAATTATTCATTACTATTGTGTGTTGGCCTGGTTATTGGGACGTTTAATGTGTAAATTTGTTGGAGCAGCTATATGGAAAAATAAACAAGATGTGGAGCTGAAGTAAAGCAACTTCAAAAATATTTGAGAATCGGTGCATTAATTTTGTTCAAAGTCCAAATTCAGGGAAAGCAAAGCAGGTGAATAACACAACAGCTGAGATTGCCTTCCTCCATACAGCAGAATTGGAGGACCAGCCTACAATAGGAGCACTTCTGCCAAGTTAAAAAAGCCTGTGCTCCTGAGCACAGACTGACTAGCAGATGCCATCCCCAGCCCGAGGCAGGGCCAGACCCTACTCAGTTATGGAGATGCACCTCAGGAGCGGACCGATGAAGACTGGCACCTGGGATGGGGCATGCAAGGAGACACAACAGAGGCTGGAGGAAGCCTAAGACTGCAGCCCTGTCACAGGGGAAGGGACAAAGACTGAAATCAATTAAAAGTCATGTGAGATGCTGTTTCTTGTATAAACTTCCTGTTCGGGTCAGGGAATGTTGTTGGTGGTATTTTTTTTTTTTAAAAAAAAAAGGTCAGGCACCAGATCAGAAATAAATAATCATTTATTAGCAAAAAGCTAACCAGTGGAAATTAATCTGAGGGGGGAATTTGAAAGGTGACAGGAAGATGAGATTTTCCACGTGAAAGTAAGAAGATTCCCAGGCTTTTGGCCACCATGCAAGTTGGTTAGGATTTCTTTCTTTTTTTTTTTTTGAGCTTAAGCATCTTTTAAAAAATCCTGCTCATAACTGTTATAAGTTTGCTGACTACATAGAGGATTGTATGTTCAATCCCAAGCTCACAAAATATGTGACCTATTTAGAAAGTGCTATGATAGATGAATATGCTGAAAGGGAAACTATGCGGCCTGGAAAACCAGCAAAGAACAGAACCAGGACAAGCACAAAGAGAGGAGACAGTGTCCCTCCCGTGGCAGGAGGCTTGGAACTGAATAATCTTTAAGATCCCTTCCAATCCAAACCATTCTATGGTTCTATGATGACTATGTGATGATAAGAACAAGAGAATTCTTCCTTTTTTCTGTTATATATTGTAGGCAATAAGCTTTTATTGATTATAGACACGAGGCTAGAGATCACCCTTCTTAACCGTTGTATTTGGCTTTTGAATAGGTTTAAAATACACCTACCTGAGACCAGTAGAATTTTCTCTAAGGTTCCAGCAAGAGCTTGAGGCAATTTACTCTTTTTCAGCAATGCTCCTGGGATTTTCTGTATTGTTTTTTATGTATGTCTGATATGTTTATCCCTCCCGTCTTCATCTTTATCCCTTTATTACAATTAACTTTCAAAAACATGCTAATTGCCCCAAATACCTGTCCTCTAAAAAGTGCCTGAACCGGCTGATCCCAGCTCTATTTTCAAGGCTATTTTTTAAAGCAGTAACAAACGGTATTTTAAAGAGATGCATGGAGACTGTGTTAAAAATAATCCATTGTATCTCAGTAAATGTAGACAGACTGTTAAAAGAAAGTTATTTTAATGAACAGCCCCATTTCATTGTCTGCCCAGCATAAGTTGCCAATTCCAGTTCTGAAAAAGTCAAGAAAAACACTCTTCTGGAGTGCCTGAGGGCTTTGTAGTGAGTGTCGCATGCTCGCATTTATCAAGAAGTCTCAGGGGTTGACTCAACAATTGTTGATTGTCAGGGTACAATTATATCTTTAGACTTTTCTTTTTCCCATATTAGCACTGAAAACTACACTCCCAGGGAGGGGCATGAATTGCAGATCTGGCAGATGATAGTAGCTATATGTGTCACATGGGGGGGACTTGCAAACACTTTTTTCATACAAATTGCCGAGTGTTTTATTGCCATTCTTGATGTCTTCGAGGAGACAGCAAATTTAGGATGTTCGAGTAATTCTGCAAATGACAGGATTTGAATGAAACCAGTCAGATTGGCCAGCATTATTTCAGAAAATGTGGCTTTCACACACCTTACACTATTAAGGTAATGAGCATCTATTTTTAGAAAAGTATTTATACAACTGAGATGATTCGCTTCAGTCAGCTGTTGGGTTATCAAGCAGAGTAGCAGCTTAAAGATCACACCTGGTGGTAAAGCCTTGCATTTCACTGATATTTTTTTCTGGTTCATTTTTAGCAGGATTTGCTGGGAGTTATGCTTTATGGCAATTAATCATATTAAAGTGATTGTTTCATTTTGCTGCATGATGTAGGCTACTGTCTAAATAGATATCAGTTTCTTCACCAAGAGTTTGTGAGGAAATATAAAGAAGTTCTTTCTGGGACTCCTATTGTAGAACTGTCTGTTCTCTCGGGGTTTTTTTTTTTTATCTGTGCATTGGTTATTAAAAAGAAGGCTTTCTTTAATTGTTGGATTTGTTTTTTTTAATGAACAAGTCAGATTGCCCAGCTTGATTTCAGAAAATGTGGCTTTCAAACACCTTACACTCTTAAGGTAATAGGCATTTATTTTTAGAGAAGTATTTATACAACGGGGATGTTTCCTTTCAGGTAGACTATAGTGATACTTTAGTGGAAATGAATATGAAATTGCATTTGACTTGAAGATAAGCAAACTATTGCATGGGGAAAAAAATAGTTCATATCATAAATACTATTTCTTCATCTCCTTTTTAGTAGATGCTTATCAGATACATTGCTGAAATAGTATAACACTACTGATTCATTAAGAATTCTGTATATAGTTTTGTGTAGCTCTAGCAAGACTGATGGAATTTTTCTTAGCATTAATTTCCACTAAGTTATATCATAGACAACTCAGATTCTGCAAAATACTTTAACTTGCACATGAAGTCCCACTGAATTCAGTAAGATCTAAGGGCACATTTATATGTTTTGTTGTATTAGGACTCAGGAAAATAAAGAGGATAAAAAGGTCTTGTGAGGAGAGGACAAGTTCTGAATCTCTTGCTCAGAAAGAAATCCCATTTGGACAGAGTAAACTTGGTTAATTAAATTATATAAATTAAAGAATGTTCTAGAAAAAAAATCTTAATTTTGAATGTGGAAAATAATTCCTTTAACTGAACTTCATTGAGCTTTTAAGAACAAAAATAGCTGTGCAAAGTGTTCAGTGATAAAGAGCCATATTTGAAAAACTCAGATCCTGAAAATCAGGTCTAAGTCATTCATTAAGAACCCTGCAATATCTTATTCAGGAATGCTTCTGACATGAATAACACCTCGGTTCAATTCATCTGAACTTTCCAGACAAATACATTCTGTGTAGAAATTAGACATGAATATGGCTCCAGGATCAGTTTGTTGACAACACTCATGCTTACTTTCCAGAAATGTGTCCTCTATTGGCCAGAAAAAAGAGGAATCTATGGGAAGGTTGAAGTCCTTGTTAACAGTGTGCAAGAATGTGAGAACTATACTGTCCGTCAGCTTACAATAAAGGTAACAATCTGCACCTGGGAAGCATTGTTTCTAATGCTTTATTTTTTTAATGTTAAATGAAGTTAAAGTGTTTTTTTTAAAGGGCATACATTTTTACAGGAGGAGTAACTGAGCTATGAAGCTCACAACTGCAAGGCATGATTGAGACCAAAGCACTGGAATCACTGGAATGCTTGTCGTATTGCTGCTTTGTATCACTCTGGCAATAAAAAAAGGCTTCAAAAAGAGTGCAAGTTTCACTATCTTGAATTACATTTGCTTTGAGGCCTTCTTAGCATTGCCAAGGTGATGTAAAGGGATTTTAGTTAATGAAAGAACTAGCATAGCATCATTCTGAAAAAGATATGCTGCTCATGTTGAGTGCTGAATGCACCTATAGCCCTTTTGAGAAGCTAAAAATATGAGTATATAAGAAAAGCTTCATGCTTTCATGATTCTGAATAAACATTAACTGTGCAAAATAAGGCAGATGCTCCTCTCCTAAGCTACTCCCCATATTACAGTTATGTGCTATCGGATTGCATCATCTGCTGCTCCTGACAGAGCATTACAATAAATAATGAATTGGGAAAATTTGTTTGGTGTTTCAGCCCAAGCAGTGAGCAGTGCGAAAAAGTCATATCATCCAACACAAATTACTCTAGCCCATACTTAGCCCCTTTGCTTGTTGAAGTAAGTGGTAGCAGATTCTGTCGGAGAGAACTGGACAAACTGGGATGTTTGATTGATCTAGAAGGGCAGTTCTTCTGCACCTTTAACTTAAATACTCTTGTAATTTTTGTATCAAACCCTTATGATAATGTCCTTAAAAGGCATCAGAAATACATAATAATTTAGAGATTCAGAAGCCCAGACCAAGCTAATCTCTCTAGATCTTATTGCTGGTCTAGCATAGACCTCTGACAATTCCCAATTGACAACTCAGTCAGCAAGTCAGAGCAGAACTTCCATAGCTAAAAAACCAGCTAAGCTTTCAGGTGCACAAACCCTTCTTACAACTGTGTCCCTGGAAGCACGCCTGTTCCCTGCAATTGCCTCCTCAGAGTATCATAAAATTAAAACTTGTTAAATCTCTCTGAACATTTTTACTGTCTTTTTACCATAACATTGAGAGAAATAAAAAGAATTGTTCAGCACAAGTGTGCACATAAAATCTTCATGTTATTTTCAGCAAGGGAGTCAGTCCCGGAGTGTGAAACACTACTGGTACACGTCCTGGCCGGACCACAAAACCCCTGACAGTGCTCAGCCTCTGCTGCAGCTCATGCTGGATGTAGAAGAGGACAGGGTGGAATCACCTGGCAGAGGGCCTGTCATTGTGCACTGCAGGTAATTTGCAATCCTTCTCTGAAATGACTGCCCAAAGCAAGGCCACAGCAAATTACATCAAACAGATCTCTTCCTAAAAAAACAACATATTTGGGGAAAAGTAAAATTCCCCAGGTCCTCTTCATGCTAATTGACTTTTTCTGTTCATATTTGAGGATTTGAGTTTTGGAGAGAATTCCCTTGTTGCTAGCAAATCATTTCTGAACCATTCTTCATTTCTACTAATGAACTCTCTTTTTGAAAGACCAGCTGGAAGAATTATTTTGCTTCTGTTTCTTATTCATGGTTTGCTTTGTTTTCAGTCTTGTTGCATAATTACATACCTGAGTCAGATGCAATGCCCTGTGACTGGTTAGCTAAAATGTTGTAAAGCAAGTCAATTTTGAACAGCAGGCATCAGGTACAAATTTGGAGACCAAAACACATCAGTACTAAAATTTGTGAATGTTTTCACAAAGGCATTTGGTTTAATACTCAAGAGCAAATTGTTACTCAGTACTCAAGAGCTGAGTGTTATTCACACAAATTGTAATGAACCAGAGAATGTCCTTCCAATAATTCTAGTTAAATTCCATTTTATTGCTTTATATTGATTCATTGCCCCATGTTGCAGTAGTAGGAACTAGTACTCGATTTATGTTGGTGGAAAGAAGTAGGTGAAGCAAAACAGAAGAAAAAAATAAAATCAGTGTTTCCTTAACTTGCTTTGTCTCATAACTGTGATGATACATCTCTTACAGTTGGAATAGTACTTTTTTTTTTCATAGAAGTACATCGAACCCAGAACTTTTCATCTTGAACCACTTCTTTTCAACTCCGTATTTAGGAGATTTAGAGAAATGGAAGCCAGATTTGAACCACTCATCATTTTTCAAAACGAGAATGTGATGAATAAGGAACTTTTCCAAATTTTATGCAGCTGTTTTTATCAGGAATTGTAGTTTCCCCTAAACAATCCACAAATCTGTGAACAGTTATTGAGAGTCCCATTTTTCCAGTAAGGATCTTCAGTAATGAAGGTCTTCAGAAGAACTTTTCTGAGGTCAGTGATATGACAGCAAGATCTGTAATCATGAGTAGGAATTTATCCATGAGTAAAGATCCAGGTATCGTCTCAGTTTTGATTAAAATTAATAGTTCTTCAGTTTCAACTTAGCTATCTATATTCTCACTACACTATGGTCTACAAAATGGGTAGACTCACTCACACACCATTTTCTAGTCAGATAGTTTCTTGTCTTTTAATCTGATTTGCAGTTGAGGTCATCCAGGTCTTACAGAGCCTGTGCACATTTTTAAATTTGGACCTCAGATACAACTACACAGTTCTCCATTGTTTCCAGAGGAGCACTACAGTGCACACTCAAAACAATGATCCTTAATCTGAAGTAGAAATGCTTTAATAATTTATTAATATGACACAAGTGAAAAAAAAAGTAATTCAGTTTTTTGTGTATAACTTCTTGTAGCCTATCAGCATAGGGTGCTGCCTTATATACATCAGCATAAAATCAGCAGCTCTGATTATACACACACCAAGGACACAGATTTCCAAAGGAAGAAAGTTTTAAGATCCTACCAATCTTTATAGTGACATTTGCTTGAAAGGTATATGTTTCCTCTCTCATGTCACTCATCAAAAGCATGTGAAAAATAGAGGAAATATCTCCTTAATCTGTCCTTTGGATGTGCAGTTAGTACATCAAAATAAATTTGGATTTAAGGGCAACTGGGTGGTTTGGGATCAAATGCAAGTTTTAATGGAGAGATTTCAAATATAGAGGGAAATTTTTTTTTAATTTAAATTGAATCAATAAGGAAGAATTAGAATGCAGAATTATATTCTGCAAATGTAAAACTAATTTAGACCCATTTAGTCAATGAAACCAAGTTGACCAGGAATCTGGACTGCAATGCCATTTTCTGCTTCCCAGAAGAACCAGCAATTTGGCATATTGGAGGACTTGCAAGAGTTTCTTAAATGAGAATAAGATAAAATTTTCATGCTCAGAAACTTGATGCTGTTACAGTTATTGCTGGAAGATTTTGCTTTGCTTTGCTTTTCTCATCAGCTAGTGCATGGACATGTTCTACAAAAAGCATACTACCCACATTGCTTAATCCTGAAATCGTAACAGTCCAATATTCCACTCCAAATTAACTGACCACAGTCATTATGAATGAGCTACTACACCTTAAACTCCTACAAAAAAAAAAAAAAAGAAAAAGTAAGAATATATATAATAGAAATATATATATACACACCATGTTTGGGTGCTTGAAAATACTTTGAAGTAAGTAGCTCTCCATATTTTCTTGATATATCAGGAAAGAAATGTCAGGCAAGTGAAGAACAACATCATTTTTATCTTGCAGTGTCTGAAACAAAGCTATGTAATAAGATAGGACCTGCATGCGTGAGCTGAGGAAGAAAATACATTAGAAAACCCTAGTCTTTGTTTAATACATATTAAGAACTTGTCCAAGAACACTTAATCCACTCCCAAAAAAGGAGGAAAAAGAACCCTTCATTATAGCCAACTTCACTTACATCTGAATTGTTTAAACTTGTTCGCCCCGCTTTCAAGGGTTTCAAAATATTTGAGGAAGAGAATGGGAGTATGCATTAGACTGCTTTCTCCAAATCCCTCTTTATAAACTATGTCCTTCTCCTTTTGGATACATTTATCCCATAGATATTGACAGGCTGTCAGCTCAGGATCTTCATCTCACTCGATCCTTTCTTACGCTGCCAGTTTTAGATCTCATTATCCTCTCACGGTTGGCTTAGACATCCTTATGTATTTAATATCACTGAGTCCTCTTGGAAATTTTCACTTCCAGATGGGAGGGCTCTTGAGTCCCTAAAGCACTCCTATCTTTCATTCTGTGGTGAGTAGATTGCGATTTGTTTCAGCTGTAGCAAATGAACATACTCCTGGTAACACTTGGCACTCAGATATATCAAACTTCCATCTGAGACACTCAACGTATTCATCCTGGCATTAATTTAAATAACTTTTGCAGTGCTCTTATGAGGCAGATAGCATTCATATCCATTGCAGAGATGAAGAAAGCAAGGCACCAAATGGTTAAGTATTTACTGTAAAGCCAGGAACGGAGATCTGGATCCCAGACTCCCTGTTTTAACAGTTTTCCTCACCTTTTCCTGCCATGCAGCATGACAGGGATGAACTGCACTGAACTCCACATTACTTAAGCAAAAAACAGAGTGGGGCAGAGATTCTAAAAAGTATTGGAGGCCCAGAAGGTAACAATAATGCCAAAATGGCTGTTTCCAAGCAGGCATCAAGAAAGCTTGGAGAGTTACAGCACCAAATCCTTCTCCATCCTGCAGAAGCACGGGAGAGGGGGTTAACTTCATCAGCAGGGTTGTAGGTCGTTTTTACCTTCATGGTGAGAGGTATGGTTAGCAGAACCCCTGTATACTTTGAGAGCTTCAAACGTAAAGCCCAACTGACTTTTGCCTTTAGGTGGGCTTTTCCCCAGCTCAGTGCATATCTCCATCATTTTTTTCGACTGTGCCAGAGAATATTTGGATTTTGTGGTGCTAACAGAGGTTGTTTTTCACACCACACACTTGTGTGCAAACTGGAAACGTGTAAGCCTTGCAAATTGCCCACAACGGGACTGCTGGAACAGTGCGCCCTTTGATTTCTCTCTAAGAGACTGAGTTGAGAAGTCACCCTTGCTAGTCATGCACCAGGAACTGTGGGTTCAAGCAGTTCCATGTTTCGTATCTTCAGTGTTTTCGTATCTATTCAGTGTTTTCTGCTTAACTCCTTTGATCTGTGAACTCCATTCCTCTATTAAATATTTCCTTCTCTTCAGTGCTGGTATAGGAAGAACTGGATGTTTTATTGCCACGGCCATTGGTTGTCAGCAGTTGAAGGAAGAGGGAGTTGTAGATGCATTGAGCATTGTCTGCCAGCTACGAGTGGATCGGTGAGTTCCTGAAGAACCATAAATCAGTCAATGATTCTGAAAATCAGTCAACAATTCTGAAGTCATTACTGAAATGATTCAGTAATGATCAGTAATGATTCTGAAAACCTTTTCACAGTGGAATGTTGCTTTACATGAAGTGACTGCCATCGCTTTTGCTGACTCTTATGACAGCGTTAGCTGAATATTCAAAGTCACGTTTGTTTTTAGATCCTGAATAAGGAACATATTGTTTTTTGAGTGAAACTGGGTGGGACTCCACTGAATGAAATTCTCCTGAGATGGCAACCCTGCGGTTGCTGGGCACTTGACACTCCTCTTTTTCCCTCCTGGAGTTTTCTGCTGTCTGCGGCATCCCACAAGGACACAAGAGACGCAGGGCAATCTGGAGGCAAGGGATTGTCTTTGAGCCTGGATTGACAGGGGCATCCAAGCTTGCTCAGTATGGAGTTTCTTTACACAAAGAGAGAGACAAATCTGATGCTGTTGCTATTCCCTCAGCTGTGCTGGGGGTCCTTTTGAGTTGGATTTGCAAACTTACCCAGCTTAAGAAAATAGCAAGCCATTTGTTGCAGAATTTTTTTAAGTCAGATCAATCCCCTGATTGAATTCACAGCTTGGGAGCAGGAACACTGTAAGCCAGCATTGTTGCAGAGTGCTTTGTTTTGTGAAACCATGGCTGAAGAGAGATTTGTGTTGGAAAGGAGGATGTGGGTATCGTGCACAATGGAAGCTGCTGGTTTGGTTGTACTTTTCTTTCTTATTCTGCTTCAGGAAACAGGATTTTGTGTAAAGTAAATAAACAGGGTTGTACTGAGAATAGAGAGATCTCGTTCCTCTCCTGCTGCAGGTACTAGATCATAAAATCTCCTTGCAAGTATATTAACTGCTTCTGATACACATTTCTTCTTGAAATGGAAACAACCCATAAGGCTGCAAATGCTGAAAAAGAGCTCAGATCAAAGAGACAATACAGGATTTTTGTGTTCTGAAGAGCTCTGAAAGGTACTGGAATCACGAATTGCAGAAGGACCAGAATCTATATAGTTGACAATGTTTATGGATCACCTCCTCTGCCTTCCCCTCCCATGTGCCTTCATCACACTAGAGATTGTAACATGATCCCTACACGGCAACATGAGCCACTTGGAGTGTCAAATTCTCCAAGGGAATTTCCTGACCTAAAAATCTCAGCAACTAAAAAGATGGAAGAGCTGAGGGGAAAATGCTTACTCTGTTTTAAATTATCAACTCCAAATTTCCACCACTCTGTTCTGATTATCCGTTCATCTTATTGAAAAAGGTTTGTAGTGCTCTCCTCCATTTCAGTATTTCTATTATAAGATAATCTTTTTCTTATTGCTTTTAAACTCCACTGTGGAGAAGTGAAAGCAAACTCTGGTCTCAGCTACATCATTTCTTATGTCATTTTTTCAGCCATAGAAAAAATAATCGAAATTTTCAACGTTATAACTGACAACACAATTTCATCATGTTTCTCATATGTATTAGTATCCTAACTAAATTTGGAAAGAGAATGAAAATCTGACCCAAATACAAACATTCATAACAGCAATCTCAGTGACACAGAGCTTGTTATAGAAATTAAGTCTTGTGATTTGCACATTTCTGTATTTTTTGGAGTTTCAGATTATAGAAATAGACTTATAGAATGCAGAATTATAGACTCCAGAGATCTTGCTTAAGGCACCTCAGCTCTTCATATTTTCAGGGATTCCCTGAGACAAAACGTATATCTGTGTTTTAATTTTTGAAGACAAATTTTTCTGGGCAAAACTCAGTAACCAAAAACTCTTTTTCTTTCCTTTTTCCAATTGGCTATATTGCAGAATGGATCTCACTCGACTGGCAGTCAGTTTATAGCAAGGATTGCTAAGGCAGAGCTTAGCAGCCTCTAAGACTACAGCAGCCACTGCCAGCCCAACCAGATCGCGGGTTCATAAAGTGGACATGTGTCAATGTTACATGGGCAAAGCTCCATGAGACCAGCTTCCCCTGATGACCCAGTCCTGATGTGGTGGTTATTGGCAGGTGACATGTGAGATAGGGTCATTACATATGGCATGAAACTGGTGAAATGACTTAATGTCCCACTAGATATGGCTGCAAGAGCTGGCTCTAGCCATAGCTGTGTTGCACTCCAGTTACCAGCTGATGGTATCCACTTGTGTGTGAACTTGTCACACGGGTCCATGGCCACGTTTCTACCAAAGTGAACTGAGCAATAGGAGAAAAGAAAAGAACTGTGCTTGTGGGACTCACAATGATGCTGTAGTGCTTTACCAAAACGTTCCCATTGCCCAGCACACTCAGTGAGAACCAACCAAGCATCCAGACAAACCGTAGATGGTGGCAAAAAGTTATGATGAAAAATAGTTTAATTAACTGCCTATGCAGCCCCTCTGGAAACAGAGTTCAAAATGGAGCTCCAACAGGGAATGAGACAGGAGAGAGCTATTCCCAAGTAAGGTATATCCAGATGCCACTTTCTTCTTAGCCGTTCAGTGAACGGATCTGGCTGTAATCATCTGTGCTGAGCTAACATGAGGAAATGGACCGTGCACTCAAAATCTTGACCCCGGATGGAGATACAGCCATGCTCAGTGTGGATTCATAGAAAGACAGACCCACAGGTCTGCTCAGCTTACTTTTTTTCCCAGTTCATTTTTTAAGTTTTGCAACAGAAACAGGAAATGTTTGATGTGAGGCATCTTCAAGACTTACTGTGATATTGAGAAACTTGCACATTCTTAACCTTAAAGGCACATTCTTGGAATGACATCCGATAACTTTGCTCTTGGCTCCTCAGACAGGATGAAAAGAGTTTCCAGTGTGCGTCAATTCATTGTTTAAGTGTTTTGACTAATTGCTTCAGGTTTAAAAAAAAATAAAAAATCCCAAACCTTGCATCACATTCATTCTGGAGCAGACTGCAGTAGCAGCAAGCCAGAGCGCAGGGTAAAGGACCCTTCTGTCCACCATGGCTGCTCAGGCAGAACTGGTCACAGTCCCCAAGCCCTCAGGATACTCCCCAAGCCCTCAGGATACCAGGGACTGTTTCTTCCAAGCACCACCCCAAAGAGTCCCAAAGAAGCAGAGAGCCCAGCAGCTCACAGAGGAGCTGGCAGTGTGGGCTGGCACAGGATGACGGCTGCACACCCAGAGGTGCCCTAGTTGTGGGTACATTCCTTCTGGGCAGTAGGGATGCGGGACAGGAAACCTCCCTCCTTGAGCAGATTTCCTCCTGAAATGCTCTTCCATGCAGCCCTTTGCACAAATTGATGTCTTAAGGCCACAGATAATTTCTTGCTATTAAACGTGAGCCTTGCACAAGAACAAAGAGGAGAAGGACCTGGGGATTTCAGGTAGATGAGAAATTGGACATGACCCAGCAATATGTGCTTGCAGCCCAGAAAGCCCACCATATCCTGAGCTTCATCAAAAGAAGTGTGCCCAGCAGGTTGAGGGAGGAGATTTTCTCGTTCTACTCTGCTCTCATGAGACCCCACTGCGTTCAGCTTTGGGGCCTCAAACATAAGAAGGACATGGAGCTGATGGAGTGGGTCCAGAGGAGAGCTACGAAAATGGCCAGAGGACTGGGGCACCTCTTCTATGTAGAAAGACTGAGAGAATTGGGGTTGTTCAGGCTGGAGAGGAGAAGGCTCCAGGGACACTTTTTTGCAGCCTTTCAATATATAAAGAGGGCTTATAAGAAAGATGGAGAAAGCCTTTTTACCAGAGTCTTTAGTGATAGGACAAGTGGTAATGGTTTGAAACTAAAAGAAGGTAAATTTAGATTAGATATAAGGAATAAATTCTTTGCTATGAGGGTGGTGAGGCATTGGAACAGGTTGCCCAGAGGAGCTGTGGATGCTCCATCCCTGGAAATGTTCAAGGTCTGGTTGAATGAGGCTTTGGGCAACTTGATCTAGTGGAAGGTGTCCCTGCCCATGGCAGGGGAGTTGGAACTAGATGATCTTGAAGGTCCTTTCCAACCCAAACGATTCTGTGATGCTATGGTTCTATGGATACCTTGTATAATAGCACTGACAAGGCCAAGTTGTCTGAACCTCTGTATAACACTCAGGTGCCCCTAAGTTGACAGGGATGTGCACTTGTTTGTCTATACCGGGTTCAGAAGTACCACAACGTCTCAGTTATGCTTGGTAGCACAGGGCAAATGCTGAGCTCAGCCCCAGCCAGGCTAATGCATGCCTTCTCGGAGATTTAGTATGTTACTTCAGCGCTGAAGAGGAAGGAGCAAAGATCACCCTCGCAAACACCCTAGTGCAGCCAAACTTGTTTTAACTTGCCCTTCTTGCCAAGTCCTTCTTCCTGGATACGTTCGCTTCCTCCACCCCTTCCACACAGCAGATCTAACCTGGGAAACGCACTCCTTTAGAGCACATCTTGGGGGAACATTGGTGGGGGAGACAGGGAGGGAAGCTGACTGGGAAGGGGTTGTGTGGGCAGGGCAGGACGCAGCAGTGAGGAGGAAGGAAGGAGGCTAAGCAGCACAGAGGACCAGAGCAAAGCCCTCCTGTCACCTTTAGACTCTCTCTGGATCTCCAGGCAAGGGGACAGGCACAGAGGAGAGCAGCTGAAGGCAGCAGGCAGCCAAGAGTTATGAATTTGTGGATGTCTTTGTTGGCAAAGCTAAGAGGCTGCTGCATTTTGCACCAGATGGGACCATTTAAGGGCCTGTGGTTTAACTCCTAGGAATAACATAGCAAAATAGACATGCAGCTCGCTAAAAGGTGTTTTACAGTTACCTGAGCTCACTGGAGGAGCAGAAACCGCTGGTTGTTTGCTTAAAGAAGTAGGTATTATTTTAATTATGTTTTTCCTGCCATAGCCATTTAACCATACAATAGCACTGAGGAAAATAAAAGGACCTTATCGTTGTAGATAACATTCTCTAATACTAAAGGACAATACTTGTTGAGGCAGTTTTACCATTTTTCTTATAGCTTTGTATATTAGTAGACCCTTTTGTTGCTGCGATGTCTGAAGGGATCATGGGGGTTTGTCAGACCTTCTCCTGTAAGATGCCTGGCTTCAACATTGCTCTGTATCCAAATCGTTCATGAATTTGATTTTTTCAGTGAAGATTAGCTGAAGCCAAACACAATACACATCTTAATGTCTTCCTTCCCACTACGGCCATTTACTCTTTCATCCTCGCAAACGTAGCTATCTGCTCCAGAGTACACTGAGGATCAACTAGGGGCTTGGTTCTAGAAGCAAAGTAGGTAGCTTTGAATACCCTGGCAGATGAGGTAATAAAAGTGGAATTAAGTAAACTTGAGGCTTCACTCTGTGAAAAGTGAGACCTGGAAGACCTTAGTACTATCAGGTTCGGTTTAATTTTAGAGCTGAATGGTACCACTTTTACTAAATACCATACCTACCTCCTGTAGGACATCATCCTCTTCCTACCACGCTGCAATGGGCACTAGAGATGTGGGACTTCATCCTCGTACTTAGACCTGAAAAAGGGATTGTTATCAAGTGAATGTATTAAATGTAGGCATCTAATCCAAGCTGGCTGTAACTAGTCCTTTTTATGGTCAAGTTAAGCTCTTTTGTATTGCTGGTGCTGAAATGAGTCACTGCTGTAAAATTTCTTTGGTGGCTGCTGTTCAGACAGGATGCATTGTAGGCGTTAGAAAGAGGACAGGAAGAGCTGTTCTCTGCACAGGCAATCTGAGGTCACCAAAGGTTACATTTTTAGTAAAGGACAAAAATGAACGGCCAGATTCTGAATACTCCCTTGCTCCATCAATAGTAATGCTGCCTCCATGTATCTGGCCTTCCTTGCCCAAGTGACTGAGCAAAATTCTCGATGAATGTGTTGAATTTGAAATGTAGATTTTACCAAAGTAGATGCCAGATGTTTTCCTCTCCAGTTCTTACCCTGACAGAATTGGGTATGCTTGCTCATGCTGGGCATGTGCCGGATGGTGTAAGTTATGAAGAAAGTACTTCTGCTCAGGCAAATCTCCCACTTACTCAAGCAAACTCTAAGTCAAATGTTGAGAAAAGGGCTTGTATTATCTGGTGGTCATGGGGTTGGCAGGGGCTAGAGGTTGTTGCATTCTTAAGAAATAATATTTCATTCCGATGCGTTTCATTTTCAGGGGTGGAATGGTTCAGACCAGTGAACAATATGAATTTGTGCACCATGCACTGAGTCTGTATGAAAGCAGACTTTCTGCAGAAGCTGTCCAGTGAAGCCAAGGAGGGTAAAACCGAATGTCAGTCTCCTGAGGTAATTTGTTTCATTACCTACCAGCAGCTTCTTCAAGGAGCTTACTGCAGTGGGGAGAGCGGCTTTGAGGCCAACTTCTGAAAGGATTGTGGACGGTTTGGCAAAAGTATGGAGATTGCTGGACCCTTACTGTATATGAATGTATTGTGAGCTTCCCAAAAATGATTCATAAAGAAGGTACTGTACTGAAACTACACCTGGATTTCACGTATATAACTAAAGGTGGGTTTAATTCTGTAATACTGATATCTGCCATATGGAATGTGTGTGTGTGCTATTGCTGCAGTCAGATGGACATTGGAACTTCCACAGAAGAAATGTTTATCAAGTGTATAAATGCTTTAACGTTTGCAAACTGTCTTGTGAATGGACTGTCAACTGTACTGTAAAGTGCTATTACTGATTATGTGGTGAGCTTGTTTCTTGGCCACATAATATTCTTGCTGCTAAAATTGCAAGTGTTCAATTATGGATTAAAAAAAAGATGAGATAATAAAAAAATATAAAGTCTTGTTGTTTTTGAAAATATTCAAAAGCAGTTAATATTTTATATGGAAATATATGTTCTTCATACTATTAACTATTAAATGTGTACTTACTGTAGGTCTTACAGAGCAGTTGCAGAGCACAATGTCTGTTATTCAGTGTGTATGTATTTACCCTGTACTGTTGATTGTCTTAGAACATGCTTCTGCTACAGACCCGAATCCAGTGTGTTTGTAAATTGTGTAAGTCATTTTACTTTTAAAAGAAACTTTGTAAAATATATTAAATGGTAAGGATTTTAAATATTTGTCTGTCTTTTATTAATACGGGATTTTTTGCTTATGTTGTTTATCTGCTCTGTCTCTTTCAGTAAGAGATAGATGCCTTTAGTGATATGGACTGTTCCATGACAGGTTATACAAGAAAGAATATGCTGCTATGACTGTTTCCTACATTGTTCAGTAAGAGTTTGTTTTTAAGAGAAATGCAAAGTTGGCATTATGACTTACAGCACTGGGAGATCTGTTTACAGGGTATAATGAGTTTTTAATGCAGTGATGTTGACTTTGCTTCATACTGATAATAAATTACACTTGATAAAAAATCTCAACTGAAGTCTCTATTCTTGCCTAGAGTAGTCAATGCACCGCACACTCTTGTACCTCCATAAACACGGCCAGCCCTGTAGCATCTGGTGAGCCTCCACCATGGCTTCACACCACTGGAGGACCAATTCAGAGGACACAGGCAATCTCCCAGCGACATGGAGCAAGGTGGATCACCTGATGGGAAGGCAAAACCAGCATCACTTGATCCCTCTGGGGGGAGTTTGTAGCAGACCCAGTGCAGACCTCAGAGCTTT